AAAGATCAAGTGAGATAATATTTGTAAAGTGTCTGGCATGTAATAAATGTTAGCTATTATTATTAAGAGAATCAAATAATAATAACTAGCATTTCTATAACACTTTACAGTTTGCAAAACCCTTTGTACCCATTATTTCACTTAAATGCCACCTCTGTATAGCGCTTTGCAAACCTCAACGTGCTGAAATCGGGGAGGATTCCTAGGCAGGATTCTTCAGATCCTGTTGGGTAGGGGGCCTTCCCCAGTTCAGAGCTTCTGAGCTTTGGGAGGGAATGAAGAGGACACATCTCTTCACTTTGGGGAGGAACAGCTGGGTTTTAAGGACAAGCTGCATTTTAGCTATGTTCTCCAAGGCCAGGAGAACCTCACTCTCATATGGTCAATCTCAATGGTGAATTTAGCCACACCAAGGCAAATCTCAACCCCCAGAGTAGGAATGCTGGTGAGGTGGCTGTCTCACCTGGGAAGCTCCTCAAATGACCACCAGCAGACACTGGCTTATCACTAACATCTAAGGGCCAGGGGAGAGAACAGGGCCCCTAGAAAAGGGCACACAGAACATTGCTTAGCACTGTCCTGGGGGACATGGGGGAGTGCGGATAAAAGAAGAAAAGCAAGGGTTAGAAAGGAGTTTACAGTCTACACACACACACACACACACACACACACACACACACACACACACACACCCCAGACACGTGAAATGTCATACAATACAGGACCCTAGGAGAGGGTGAGGACTTTGGGGACCCTCACAGCAAGAAGAATCACTTCAGGTTTCATAGAAGATAGAAGACTTGAGCTGAGTCTTGGAGGATGGCTGCCTAAGACTTGGCCCAATCCAGGGGAGTAATGGGAAAAGCAGTGGGGGCAGTGACAAGAGTCGGGTTTGGGCTCAGGTTCAAATCAGGGCTTCTCCAGCTGTGTGACTTTAGGCAAGCTATTTTTTTTTTTAGCAATGGGATGTGCTTTATTAGGTCTAAAGGGAAAGGTCAGCACCAACAGCTAGAATCAGACAAGCATTCATTTCAAATTATAATACATTTTACATGCACCATTTTATGTGATCCTCATAACAGGGGGCAGCTAGATGACACAGTGGATACAGTGCTGGGCCTGGAGTCAGGAAGGCTCATCCTCCTGAGTTCAAATCCGGCCTCATGCACTTACTAGCTGTGTGACCCCGGGCAAGCCACTCAACCCCGATTGCCTCAGTTTCCTCATCTGCTAAATGAGTTAGAGAAGGAAATGGCAAAGCACTCCAGTGTCTCTGCCAAGAAAACCCCAAATGGAGTCACAAAGAGTTGGACACAACAACAACTCCTTCTATGAGGGAGTTATATTGGATTGGTCACCTAGCTCTAGTATTAGGCAAGCTCTTTTACTTCCCTGACTTCCCTTGCTTCTATGGCTGCACTTGGTAGCAACTCTATATTGAGGATCCTGACCTCTGACCTTATGATGGCTGATGGTCATCGGCCCCCCTGGGCTCTTTCTTTCTGCTGGTAAGAACCTATAGGGCTTCCCTTGGCTGGTATCCCCTACTGGAGAGAGGCCTTTTCTGACTCCTCCCCTCTCCAAACTTCCTTCCTATTAGCCTTCTGCCTAAGGAATGTTTACTCACTGAGGTACCAGTTGCACCCCCAGCAGGAAGGAAGGAAGGGACTGGTTTGGTTTTGTCTTTCTAAGCCCAGTGCCGAGCACAGTTGGTGGACTCATGAGGTGCCTAATAAATGCTCCAGAACCTGGGCTTGATTCCAAGCTGTCTCTGACTGCTTTTGTGATCTTGGTCACCTCTCTGGGCCCTAGGGTGCCCATGTGTAAAATGGGAGGGTTGGCCTTCCTGCTCAAAGGGTCCAAAGAACTCAAGGCTAACCCATGTGGTTGTTTTGCTCCATATCCCCAAGAAAAGTGTGACTGCTAAAGAGGTACAGGGAACCCTTGGGCAATCCTTGGTCCTTTCTTAGTCTGGGGTGCCAGTGAAAAATGTGTGTTCTGATAAACAGCTGACAACTTGATTATGCTAAAAAGTGTTATATGCTGAATAAAGGGTTATGAGCAATGAACTTCTATTTTATATTTCTTTCTTATGTGCATATTCACAGTAAACTCAAGAATCCAAAAGAGGTTGGGGATCTCTGACCCAGAGAACCGGGGATAAAGGAAAACACTGTGATGGTGGGGATGTGGCCTGGCAGCTCTGGGCATGAAGCTGGCACTGTTGGGCATAAACTTCCTTCCCCAGCCTGAGCTTACTTACTTTTCATAGGTTCCTCTAACTCAATGAGTGTTTAAAAATGACATTAGGCCTAATTAATACTTACCCTTATTTATCCTTGTTATTTAAAGGGGCTTCAACTGTGACATCAACATTTTTAAAAATCTAGACCTGTGATTGCATCCATGTGGGAGAACTCCCAGTGCAGAAACCCCCTTCACCACTGTAGATCAAGAACTCCCCTTTAAGCTATAGTCCAGGAGTGGGGAACTTGCAGCCTCGAGGCCACATGTGGCCCTCTAGGACCTCAAGTTCAGCCCTTTGACTGAATCCAAACTTCACAGAACGAATCTCCTTAATCAAGGGATTCATTCTGTAAAACTTGGGCTCAGCCAAAAGGCTGTACCCAAGCACCTGCATAGTCTTAGAAAGTGGCCTGCCTCCTGGTACAATGACTTGCCCAGGGTCACAAAGCCAGGCAGAACTTGAACTCTGGTCTTGTCGACTGCAAGGCCAACTCCCTATCCATTATGCAATGCTGCCTTTCGATTATAGAAATGAACTATTCTGGGGAAAGTTAATACCAAGTTGCAAAGGGGAAGGGTACTCTTCACTTTGACTGAGATGCCATTTTCAAAGTGGGTAGGACTCTTCTCATTGTACCCCGAAGTCACTATTAGGCAGCTGGGAGGTGGCAGAATATGTGAAAACACTGTGGTCTGAGTTCAAATCCTGCCTATGACCCCACTTGTCTAGGCTTGGGCCTATACAAAGTCCTTTCCTCTCCCTAAAGCCTCAGTTGCCTCCTTTGTAAAATGAGTGGTTGGGCTAGATTGGCCTCTGGGAATCTTGCCAGCTCTTGATGCATAACCCTATGAAATGATTCTGTTTGGAGCTTTAAACTGTCTTTAAAAATAAATACACCCGATAAAGCAACTTGGCTTCTTGGATTTGAAAACCACAGGGGAAGGTCCATTGGGAAGTGTACTAGACTGGTGTTGGGAGGCCACTGGGTCTTTGCCTGCTGTGACTTCTCCCTTTCTGAGTCTGTTTCCTCACCTGTAAAATGGAGTTAGACTAGACCAGAAATTTAGAGGTGAAAGGGACCTTAGAAGTCCAACCCTCCTGTTTTTCCAATAAGGAAATTGTCCAAGGTCACACAGGCAGTAAGGGGTGGGCTTGGAGCACTGGCTGCCATTTCAATTCAGTGATATTTGCCCTGGCCCAGGTTGCCACCAGATGTGGAAGGCCTCTTCCTACTCTCCTAGGCCATTTACCTGTTCCTTAACTGAAGAGAATAGCTCCCTCCTCCCCAGTCTCCCTTCTCTCTCCTGCACAGGCCCTTTTGTTTTGGGAGCAGTAAAGCCTTCTAGATATAACAGGCCTGGGAGTGCAGACCCTTTTCTCACCCTGATTCCTGTCTCCAGCTGGATGGGGCTCGAGCTTCCTGGGGCTGCTGCAAGGTCTATGGGCATTGGAGCAATCCTGAGTATTTCTCAAGGTCTTCTATGGGACACAGTCGGGGTGGGGTGGGGTCCGAGGCTGGTGGCTGGTGCTAATCTAATCCTTCATTTCTAGGAGCTTTGTTCCAGCAGCCAACAAGAGGGTGGGCTGTTCTATGTAACCAATGAGGTGTATCAGGTCTGCGTGCAGCAAGGCCAGATGTCTAGGCAGATGTTCTGCTCTTTCTCAGGTGTACTTGCACCTTGAAGAAAACATTGTGAATGGGGGTGGGGTGGGAGTCGGGGGATCACTCAGGCCCAGGCCTGCTGGCGGTGCCTCCGCCATGTTCCCCCCTTCAGCTGCTGCACGGTTCCGAGATAAGAAAGTAGAGCCTTGCAGCTGGTGGTAGCTCTCAGTCTCCCGCATGGTTTGCAGGGTCCACCACACCACTGCCACCACCTCTGCTGCTTGCTGCGGGGAACACACACAGATATTCCTGGGGGCAGAGCCAAGGTCCATTCCCCTCAGTCGGTCCCTTTGCCTAAGCCTGAAAACAGCAAATCTGCCTCTGGCCCTGGCGGCAAGCAGGCTCGGGGGATCTTTGTGGATTCATGTGCCTGCTTCCATTCCTCCTTCCCTCCCTCCGGGGACAGACTTGCAGGCACACACACGTACAGATATACACAGGAGCACACAGCGCACATACGTGTACAGACGCACACAGGAGCACGCATAGGCATGTAGGAGTATAGACATGCACAGGCACACACACATGTATAGACACACACGAACACACCCAGGGGCTTGGCCTCCCAGCCCCACAAGGCTCTCTCACTCGCTCGCTCATTCCAGAAAGCTGCCCAGCTGGCTTCCTTCCCTCCTCCTCCTCAGCTCCCCCCTCCCCTCCACGAGTCCTCTGCAGCATCCAGCGGGCGGGATGCTGATGCTGATGCTGATACTGATAGTGATACTGATGGTGATGCTGCCTCGGTCGGCGCTGATGTCCGAGCCTCTCAGACAAAGCTCGCACGCAGCTCTGGGCCGCCCGGTACCCACCAAACACTACCCTTGGAGCGAGGGAGGGGAGAGGAGAAAATGAGCCCCCGAAGTGGCCAACCGCAGACTGTTCTCGGCCCGGCCCACGCAGGTGGCCACATTCCCCAGCTTACGGCTCTCGGGCCCGGGGCCGACCCAAATGCCCAGGAGTGGGGGCTGGGGGGCGACAGGGCGCAGACCCTCCCCGGCAGCCCCTACCCGTCCTTCTTCCCCCACCCCACTAAGGCAGCGCTCCGCCCACTGCTCGCCCCGCCCTCGCCCTCCAGTCCGCCTGCCCCACCTGAACCTCTCCTGGCCCGCGGTGTCCCAGATCTGTAGCTTGATTCGCTTCCCGGGCTCGATCTCCACCAGACGGGAGAAGAAATCCACCCCCACGGTGGGGTCGGAGACCTGGGCGAAGCGGCCCTCGGTGAAGCGGCGGATGAGGCAGGACTTGCCCACCGTGGAGTCCCCGATCACAATGAGCCGGAACTGGTAGAGCCAGATAGCCTCCATGCTGGCCCCGCTCAGCCGTCGGCCTCCGACCCGAAGCAGCGCCAGCGTGGCGGGCCTGGCTGCGGGACGGGGCTGCGGCTCGGGAGGCTGCGGGCGCCCCCGCGCGCGGGCTGCGCGGCGTCGGGGGGGCGGGGCTAAGCCGGCGGCCGGGCGCTCGGCCTCCCCCAGCCCTAGGGCATCAGCCAGCGGGTGCAGGGGCCCCCGGGGGCCGCGCCTTCGAGGGTAGGAGGGAAGAGGATGGCGTTCGGGCGCGGCTTCGGGGAACGGTGCGGCCCGAGGCCGCGGGTAGGGGGCTCTGGACGGGGCGCCTCCGGGCTAGGAAGGCGTCCTTGGCTGTGGCAGCCCGCGTCAAGGGCCTTCGAGCCGGCCTCTAGCTGCCTTCCCGGCGGGCATCCTGCGGAGGGGCCTGGGGGCAAAGCTTGGGCAGCCTCGAGCTGGTGCCAATGCCAGTGCCGGTGCAGGCGTCGGTGGCGAGGTGGCCGCGCTCCGGGAGGCTGGCCTGGGCCAGGCTGTCACAGCCGCAGGGCTGGAAGCCTTTAGACGTGGGCACGGGCGGGAGAGGGCGGCGGGGATCACTGTTCTCTCGGAGCGTGGACTGGACCAGGCATCACCAGGATGGAGGTGGGAGGAGCGCGAGAAAGAGAAGGATGGAGAGACCGAGAGAAAGAGACCGACAGACAGGGGCAGAGAGGGTTCTGGGAGCGAGCCGACGCTCAGCTCGAGAAAAGGCTGCTGCTACATCAGTACCAAACATTCTGACTCATCGTTGGCATCATGGTTTACTGTAATCTCCTGCATAGAGGGAACACTCCAACTCAGCCGGCTACTTACCGCATTCTCTAGATGAACTGCTCCTAAGGAAAAATCAACAAAGGGCCTCATTCTTGCCTAATCAATTCCTAGTTCGGAATCTCTCAGTCTTTTCTGTTTCCCTCAGATTAACTTGGCGACTTTTAGGCTGAGGACCTTCCAGTTTCAGAAGTGAAAAAGCTGGAGTGGAAAGGCACCAATTGGGAGGCAGGGCATTGACCAGGTTCAAACCCTGGCCCTACCATTTTTACCCACCTTAGTCCACCCATCTGACTGGGGGGGCGGGGCGGGGCGGCGCTAACCTTCTCCCAGATGCACAATGAGGAGGTTACATGAAATGATCTCAAAGTTCCTATAGAACTGGAAACCTCTGGCTCGGACATTTATGAACTGTGTGACCCTGGGCAAGTCACTCCCCTTCACAAAAAAAAAAGCCTCAATACCTTCATCGGTAAAAAAGGAGAATAATAAGAGCTCACACTGATATGGTGCCTTTTTTTTTTTTTAGGCAATTGGGGTTAAGTGACTTGCCCGTGGTCACAGAGCTAGTGTCAAGTGTTTGGTCTGAGGCCAGATTTGAATTCAGGTCCTCTTGACTTCAGGGCCATCTAGCTGCCCCCTGATATAGTGCCTTTAGCCAGTGTTATTCTGCATCTCTTTCAGTTTGCTTCTGTGCATTTTAAAAAAATGTTGCCCTGCTTCTGTTGTTTCCTTTGTTTGGTCCATCTATCAGTAGTAGTCACCCTTTTGCTCCCAAATCTGCCCTCCCTTTAAAAAAAAGACAATCACAACTGTCTCTTGTAACAAGAAGAGTCCAAAGAAACAAACCCCTATGGCTCTTAAATCTTTCAAAGTTGCTTTATCTTGCAGTTTCATTATTATATAGGGTATCCCCAAAGTCTTAATGTAGTTTGATATTATTCAAGCTTGAAACAGCCCTAAGACTTTGGGCCATCTCATATGAAGTCCCCAGATTCTGCTCACATTGTTCTGCATCAGTTCATACAAGTCCTTTCAGTTTCTTGGAATCCATTCCTTTGTCATTTCATAGCATTCATATGACATACATTGTGCAGCCATTCTCTAATTGATGCACCCCCTCCCCCTTCTCAGTTCTTTCATAAAGCTAAAAGAGCTCCTTTAACCACAATCTAACAAGCATTTACATTCACCCTTTAGTTTGTTGTTTGTTTTTTGGTGAGGCAATTGGGGTTAAGTGCCTTACTCAGGGTCACACAGCTAGTAAGTGTCAAGTGTCTGAGGTCAGATTTGAACTCAGGTCCTCCTGACTCCCGAGGTCAGAGTTCTATCCACTGTGCAACCTAGCTGCCCCTACATTCACCCTTTAGGCCCTGGTTCCTTCATGTCATCTCTCCCTGCCGTTCAACCTGGAAATATATTGTAAAACTGGGAATCCAGATACTCTGCCCTAACCCTAGCCATGCCACTGCATCAGTCAGTCACTCCTGCCTTCTAGAACTCCATTTTTCTTTCTCCACAAAGAGAGAATAGACCTAGCTGAGTTCAGGGCTCTTCCAGTTCTGCCAGCTTGTGGGTTCTGTGGCATTGAGAGTGCCACCATCTTATAGTCCCTCTTGCAAGGCTCTTTATAGCTGCCTAAACAAGATGTAGGGAGAAGAGACAGGGAAGAGAGAGAGAGACAGAGACAGACAGACACAGAGGGAGATAGAAAGGGAGGGAGAGAGAGAGGGAGGGAGAGAGAGAAAGGAGAAAGAGAAAAGGAGGGAGGGAGACATAGAGAGAGAGGAAGGGAGGGAGGAAGAGAGAGAAGGAGAAAGAGAAAGGGACGGAGAGAGAGAAAAGAGAAGAGAGGAGGAAGGAAGAAAGAAAGGGAGGGAGAGAGGGTCAGAGAGACAGAGAGAGAAGAGGAGAGGAAGATGAGTGTCAGGGAGGGTAAAAAAGACTGCATACACTTTGAAGGAGTTGGATAAAATTCAAGTCATCCAAAAAGCAGGACTTCACTGAAGTTCATTGTCTAGGAGAGAAAACTGAAGCTCAGAAAAGTCATCACTTGCCTGGGGTTATACAGGTGGTGGGGACCAGTGAATGCAGAATTTGAACCCAAGTCCTCTTTCTACTACATCCTATTTATTCTAACCCCAAATTCCTAAAGCCCAGATCCAATCATGTCACTCCTCCATTCGGTAAACTCCAATGGCTCCCTATTGCCTCCAGGATCAAAACCGAAACGCTTTGCTTGGCATTCAAAGCCCTTCATCACCTAGTCCCTTCTTCCTTTTCCAGAAACTCTTAGAGTCTTCCCCTCCTAGACTGATTCTTTTTTAAAGGCAAACTAGGCCATCTTTTGCCTCAATTCTTAGACAGCCTTTAACTACTGAATGAGTGTTGCCTCAGACAAATTGAGACCTGGGAAAGACCTTAGCTAAAAAAGGCCAGGGTCTCCCACTGCATCCTGGGTCATCCTGACCTATGTCTTGCCACTGGACTGCTATGATCCTGCAGGAGAGTAAGACTGATAACTTTGCACCAGCTGTCCCTGACTCAAAGCCAATTCACTTGCGAGTGAAGGCATCACTCTCCTGATGTCATTGGTCCTCTTCAGGAATGAAGGATGAACAACAACAGTCTTATGCCTGGCTTCACAACAAGTTCTTCATCCAGTGACACTGGCCTCCTGGCTATTTCATGAACAAGATACTTTAACTTTCATCTGCAGGCATTTTCTCTGGTTGTCCTCCATGCCTGTAACACTATCCCTCCTCTGCTCCAACTACTGACCTCCCTGGCTTCCTTCTGGTCTTCTCCTTAAGGCAAGGCAGAGAAATCCTGCACCTGGCTTCTTTTTTTCACCTGGCCCCAAGAGGAGTATTAGACTAGAATTCTATCTATACATGCTTTCCCTGCCCCCAATCTGGTCCAGAGTTAGAGAAGAAGTTCACTAGCCTTGAAGGAGAAGGGTAGTACTGAACTCACATCTGGTAGCTGGACTTCTTTGTACCAAACATGAGTTACACAAAAGTTCACAGATATCAAATAGCAAGTAAACTCATTTATCCAAACAAGCAGCCAATAGAAATTAAAGAAGTTAGACAGATTAGATTATACCAGAAAATACTCCAGTAAACAGCTCTTTAGATATGAGTGAGATAAGATCTCAGTTCAAACCAAGAGTGGGGCCTAGATCTCACCCAAGGGCCAAGTCTCTGAAGGCCCTAGAGAGCCAGGCTGGGGGCTTCCCTTCCATGGCTTGTAGCTTCCAAAGTCTTTCTCAAAATCTTCCAAACCACAAGTATCCCTCTCTAAGTCCTGGCACCCCTCACACACTCCTCATGCAAATCCAAAGTGTTATGTCAGCGTTTTCCTCACTAGTTGGGAGTAATGTCTCCCTCTGCAAATGCAGCAACACATGAAATGGTCCAAACTTACTGGAAGCCTGGGTAGATAAATCTGTGGTAAATCGAGTATCTTTGCCAGAAGGCAGCCCACATTTAGGGGAGATCCTAGACATAAACCATATGTAAGCTTTGTTTTAGAGCTTTCCCCAGAGTTATTCCAAAGTGGCGGGTGCCCTTTTGGGGTCAGGCTCCCCTCAGATGAACCTGATCTGTGTGAATCCAGAGCTGGAGCCCCCTGTGTGTTTGAGGGATATATAGATACATGGCATATGGTCAAACTGGGGGCATGAGATGTACATAATAACAGTAATAATAATAATAATAGCTAGCATTTACATTAGCACTTTATAAAGCACAAATCTTTTCTCATTTTATGCTCATAACAACCCTGGGAGGTAGGTACTATTATTCTTCCAATTTTACAAATGGGGAAACTGAGGCAGACAGAGGTGAAGTTACTTGTCCGAGGTCACACAGCTAGTAAGTGTTTGAGGTCAGATTTGAACTTAGGTCTTCCTGATTCCAGATCCAGCATTCTATCCACTGCGCCACCAACTGCCTATACTATACTTTTAAAAAATAATATAAGTGTTTATTGATTCTTTTCATTTTTATATCACTCAATATTTCCCAATAATCCCCCTCTCTTCCTCTTGCAGAGAGAATAAAAAAGAAAAACAGTTCAGTAAAACATATAACCAACATATTGAAAAATACCCATACTCTACCACCTCGGCAAAGAGGGAGTTGGTGGGGGGGCGTATCTGTTCACTCAGTTTGGGCTGTTTTGCTGTTGTTTTTCTTTTCATTTCCAATGTTGTAGTCATTTTGTGTATTTTTTCCTGGTTCTTATTTCACTTTGCATTACTTTGTATAAGTCTTCCTACATGCCTACTCCAACTAAAAAAAATCACAACAGAAAACAAATGATCAAGAAATCAAGAAATGCAAGTAGCATAGTAGTATAATAAGTGATTTTTTTTCCATCCCCAAACCACGCAAGAAGCTAGCCACAAGCCCTTGAGCTCCAGCAAAACCAATGCCAGTGTAGGAAAATGAGTCAACAGCCTCCCAGAAGGACCCAGCTACAGAACATGTAGCTTTTGGAGCTCTGCGGCTGAGGGCATCAAGAGTAGAAGGCTCAGCGGCAGCTAGGTGGCGCAGTGGATAGAGCACTGGCCCCGAAGTCAGGAGGACCTCAGTTCAAATCTGGTCTCAGACCAAACACTTGACATTTACTAGCTGTGTGACACTGGGCAAGTCACTTAACCCCAATTGCCTAAAAAAACCCCCCAACAACAATAAAAAAGAATAGAGGGCTCCCCAATTTGGAATTATGCCCAAAGGGCTTCTATACTGTGCATACTCTTTGACCCAGAAATACCACTGCTAGGTCTGTTTACAGAGAGATAAATAAAAGGAAAAGGACTTATTTGTATAAAAAATATTTATAGCAGCTCTTTTTGTGGTGGCTAAGAATTGGAAATTGAAGGGATGCCCATCAGTTGGGGAATGGTTGAACAAGCTGTGGTATACAATTGTGCTATGAGCAGTGATGAGCAGGATGATTTCAGAAAACCCTGGAAAGACTTACATGAACTGATGCAAAGCGAAGTGAACAGAAGCAGGAGACCATTGTACACAGTAACAGCAACATTGTATGATGAAGACTTGTGAATGACTTAGCTATTCTCAGCAATACAATGATGCAAGACAATCCCAAAGGACTGATGATGAATCATGCTATCTACCTCCAGAGAAAGAATGGATATTGTTTGAATATAGACTGAAGCATTATTTTTTCTCTTTTTTTC